ATTTATTTATTTATTTATTTATTTATTTATTTATTTGGTACAGGGTCTCACTACACAGCTTAGACTCATAGTGATCTTCCTGTCTCAGCCTCCTCAGCTCTGGGATTACAGGCGTGCACCACCACACCTGGTTTTGGGCTGGCACAGTGCACCCCAGTCCAGCATGGCATGTGGTACCCTGGATTGAACTTGGGTCCTTGTGCTTGCCAGGCTATCTCTCCAGCCAGGATCGACTTATAAATAGGTTAGATTCTAATGAAAAACTCCTGATTTTTATTTAGCAACAAGCCTTCAGACATCTTTATGTCCTTGGGTCCCTATGGTATTTCAAGGATGCATTATTATTCCCATTGCAGAGAAGTGGAAGTAGAGTTTGATAAAATTTAAAAATCAGGGGCTGGGGAGATGGCTCAGTAGAATAAGCATTTGCCTGGCAAGCTCAAGGTCCCGAGTTCAACTCCGGGTTCCAACAACAACAGCAAAAATTAGTTGTGCATGTGGTGCATACCTGTAATCCCAGTACTCTTGGAGGCTGAGGCAGGATAATCACCATTTTACTCTTGGCTCTGTTGCTTTACAAGATGGACATTTAGGGGCCAGGGAGATGGTTCAGTAGGATAAGCACTTGCCTGGCAAGCGCAAGGGCCTGAGTTCAATCCCCAGTTCTGCCAAAAAAACCCAACTAACCAACCAGCCAACCAAACAAGATGGACATTTAGGGATGTCCTTAAACCTGCCTGAACCTCAACTTTGCTCATCTCTAAAATGGGCTTAACATTAATTTCTCAGAACAAGTGAGGATGAGAAAGGGTTGATGCAAAGTATAAGCTGTGGTATGATCTGGGTGATTGATGGGTGAACGAGTGAGGCCGCTGGTCTCACCCTGCTTCCTTCCTGGTTTTGTCCTCTCAGATGTGGAGATGGATGGGCAGAACTGGACCTTCGCTTTTGACTTCTCCTTCCTGAGTCAGCAAGAAGATCTGGCCTGGGCTGAGCTCCGGCTGCAGCTGGTCAGCCCCGTGGACCTCCCTGCCGAGGGCCTGCTCACTATTCAGATTTTCCACCAGTCCAGGCTGGACCCAGAGCAGCACCCAGCTGCCTGCCCAGAACGTCTTCCAATGGAGCTGTTCGCTGTCACCCTGTCCCAGGTTACCTTCTCCTCAGGCAGCATGGTCCTGGAGGTGACCAGGCCACTCTCCAAATGGCTGAAGGACCCTGCGGCCCTGGAGCAGCAGATGTCCATTGTGGCCCAAGAGTGCCGGCAGCACTCTCCCAGCCTACCTGTCACTGTTGCTGTTGCTGTCACTGATGTGCTCCTCCTGCTCTACTCCAACCTGTCCAGGGAGCAGAGGCGGCTGGGTGGTGCCACTCTGCTGTGGGAAGCTGAGAGCTCCTGGAGGGCCCAGGAGGGCCAGCTGTCCCAGGAGAAGGCCCGGAGGCACCGTCGGCATCACCTGCCGGACAGAAGCCGGCTGTGCCGCAAGGTCAAGTTCCAGGTTGACTTCAACCTGATTGGATGGGGCTCCTGGATCATCTACCCCAAGCAGTACAATGCCTATCGCTGTGAGGGCGAGTGTCCCAACCCCGTGGGCGAGGAGTTCCACCCCACCAACCACGCATACATCCAGGTGGGCATCATGGCCTGGGATGCGTGGGGTGGTGGCCTGTAAGCCACAGGACCTGGGCCACATCCTGTGTAAGGTCCCAGGAGGATATGGAGATGACACATTGCAGTGTCATCATGGAGGCTGGGGTGGCCTTGAGCACACTGCTTCCCTGAGACTTTGACTTGTCTTTATTTACTTACTTGGAGATGAGGTCTCACTGTGTATTCCAGGCGGGCTGTAGCCTCGCCATGTAGCCTAGGCTGGCCTCGCACTCATGGTCGTCCTGCTGTGGCATCCCAAGGGCCTGTGGATAGAACAGGGAGGCTCAGCTCCAGTCCTGCCATGACTTTTTTTTTCTTGATTTCATCTTGATTGCTGTGGGGCCGGGGAGATGGCTCAGTAGGATAAGTGCTTGACTGGCAAACTCAAGGATCTGAGTTCAATCCCCAGTTCCGCAAAAAACAAAAACAAAAAACCTCCTTTTTCCGGGGATTGAACTCAGGCCCTCGTGCTTGCCAGGGAAGCGCTTATTCCACTAAGCCATCTCCCTGGCCCCTCGTTTTTTTATTTTTCTGCTGGGTGGTTAAGACCAAGATAAAGCAAGACCTATATTACAAGAAATGTAACTTTTGTATCTGATAAGGTCAGTCAAGTACCTTCAGGATTTATCCTGTAACCTTGTACGGCAGGTTGCAGATTCTTTGTCAGTGTCAGCCATGCAGATGAGTCAAGGCTATTGCTTGACCAGTTTGCTGTCTGTGAAAGCCTGAAAGTTTTCTCTCCAGGTGACTCCTTAGGCACACTCTGTCATCGATCACATTGTTAGCCATGACTTTCCAGGAAAGGAAGTTAGAAGCTGGACTTGAGGATGGACAGGCCTGGGCTTGACCTCTAGTCATTAGTTGTTTTATTTACTTATTTATTTTTTTGACAGAACCAGGGATTGAACTCAGGCCTTTGCACTTTCTGGGAAGTGCTTATTTCACTGAGCCATCTCCCTGGTCCCTCCCGCATGAATTTCTTTTTTAAAAAATTTTATTTGGGGCTGGAGAGATGGCTTAGTGGTCTAAAGCACCTACTTGGAACAAGCTTGGCAAAGCACAGGGACCGCGGTTCAGACCCCCAGCACCACATGCCAGCCAGCCCCGCCCCCTGGTGGGCTGAGCTGGCCACACATACACACACACACACACTAAATGTTAAAAATAAATAAATAAATAAAGTTAAAAAAAAAATAAAAAAAATTTTTATTTATTTATTTATTTATTTATTTATTTATTTATGTGTGTGTGGCCAGCTCAGCCCACCAGGGGGTGGGGCTGGCTGGCATGTGGTGCTGGGGGATTGAACTGTGGTCCCTGTGCTTTGCTAAGCTTGTTCTAAGTAGGTGCTTTAGACCACTGAGCCATCTCACCAGCTCCTGCATGAATTTCTACATGCTGTTACTCTGCTATATATTTCTAGAACTAAAGCAGGAGTTTCTTGGAATCACTTAAGACTGATATGCATTATACACTAGAACAATAGGATGGGCATATAAATTAGCTACTGTTCTTTTTTATATATATACTAGGGATTGAACTCAGGGGCACAGTACCACTGAGCTATATCCCTGGACCTTATTTTTTTTTAAAATTAATTATTTATTTTGTGTGTGTGTGTGTGTGTGTGTGTGGCCAGCTCAGCCCACCAGGGGGCGGGGCAGGCTGGCATGTGGTGCTAGGGGATTGAACCATGGTCCCTGTGCTTTGCTTAGCTTAGCTTGTTCTAAGTAGGTGCTTTAGACCACTGAGCCATCCCACCAGCCCCTGGACCTTATTTTTTGAGACAGGTGCTCAGTTGCCCAGGCTAGCCTTGAGCTTCTGTTCTGTGCCTGGATTGCTGAAATGATAGGTACTTGTCATCTCACCCTATGACTTTAGGGTGCAGGACCTCACACATGTAAGGCAAGTGTTATACTATGGAGTCACACCTCCAGCTCACAAGTAACTTTTAGAACTCCCTTATTTAGAGGCTGCACCGTTAAAACAACTGTCTTCTATTTTTGTATCCAGAACCTGACTTTTAACTGTTTCATGTTTTGCCTCCTGCCTCCCCTTTACAGAGTCTGCTGAAACGCTACCAGCCTCACCGAGTCCCTTCTACCTGCTGTGCACCGGTAAAGACCAAGCCGCTGAGCATGCTGTATGTGGACAACGGCAGGGTGCTCCTAGAGCACCATAAAGACATGATTGTGGAGGAATGCGGCTGCCTTTGAGGCATCCCACAGGGACGCCAGATTTGCCTGCACAACACTAGTTTGGGAAACTCCCAGGAGACATGGTAGCATCTGTCCAAGGAAGAGAAACTGAGGGAGAAGTGGCTCTGCAGGCCAGTGCCAAGGAGAAAGGGCTGCCGCTCTGCAGTGAAGGGCTCTGCTGGGTCCGCCAAACCCACAGGCCCCACAGGATAAGGGGGCAGGAGGAAGCTTATTAGGCTTGTGGATGGAGCTTCCCCCCTGAGGACAGTGGTGAGCAAAAGCACAAGTGCAAGAGTTCTTTACCTTTTTTTTTTTTGTAAGTTTAAAATTGTGCAAAAGTTGGGGCATATGTGCATTTATTCTTGAGGCGGGACAAAGCTATCTATAGTTTTTGTGTAGTCTCAAACATGGTCTGTGACATGCTATCCCCTCCCCAAATGTAAACATCATTTTATGAGATCAAGGCCTAGTCCTTTGGCTGTTGTTGCCTGGGGCTGGGTCAACAAAGGCCCCATCTTTCTTTCAAGCTAGTGACAATCTGTTGTCCCTGTGCAGAGGCTCCCTGGAGGGGATTCTGCTAATGAACCACATGAACAATAAAGTCATTGTCTAGTTCTCCTAGGGCAGCTGGTGCCTTTGACAGGAGAGGGTGGAACTTGTCCAAGAGGACTGTCCACGCTTGGTTACATTCACTGGGGTCCTCAGATGCCCCCAAGTCAGTCTGCTTGGCAGACACAATTCAAATCTATTAAAACATGGTGACAACTGACCTGAGTCCAACTGTGTTCTGTTAATGAAGACCCTGAGGTTTCTGTCTAGCTTGTTGGGTGGGTATTCACTGCTTCATCTTGTGCAGTGAGCGAGTTGGCAAATCCTAATGTATTCCTGTGAAATAGCTCTTAGGGCTGGGGCTCAGCTGTTGAGTACCTGTGTAGCATGGGCGAGCCCCTTAGACTCAGTTCTCAGCATTGTGGTAAAACAAATCTGTTGGCAGTGCTCCTGAGCTGCCGGGCATGCGGCCCACACCTGTTAAACCCAGCACTCAGGCTGAAGGTGGAAGATCGCTGTGAGTTTGAGGTCAGCCTGAGCCATATAGTTAGTTCAAGACCAGCTTGAACTATGCAGCAAGACCTCATCTCAAAAAAAGCAAGCCACAGACTGTCCCCAGAGCTTTATTCCGTCTCCATCCTAATGGCTGGGGTTATAGGCATGTGCCACCATACCTCGCTATATCCCTTTCTGTCTCTGTTAGCTTTTTCCCCCCCTTTTTAACTCCAGGTCCTAAGACACCTAATTCCAGATCCTACATAGCAGCAAACAAAAAGGAGCCCAAGATTTCCCAAAAAATGCCACCATGAATCTGAGCACCAGTGTTCACTTGAATGGGGAAGCCCCAAAGGGAACACCTGATCAGCTTCCCTTTGCTGAACATGGCAAAGCAAGGCTGCTTTTGGAGTGAACAGGCCATTGTACGTAGAATGCTGATCCATGTGACAGCCACTGAGCTGAGGGTGACAGTCCAGTGGTAAGTCCAAGCCCAAGTAGTGCCTGGGTTTGCTATAGCTGAGCCTGGGCTTCTGCAACCTCCTGGCCTGCACTCAGGAACAAAGCTGATCCAGGAGCCGGGGAGATGGCTCGGGAATAAGTGCTTCCCTGGAAAGGGCAAAGGCCTGAGTTCAATCCCCAGTTCCACAAAAAGAAAAGAAAAGAAAAGCTGATCCAGCTGCTCATTTCCTGGACTGAAAATGGACCAACTAGGCACAGTTCAGGACAAGCAGACTCTGCTTGTGACTGCTTGAGGGTAGCAGCACCGGCAGCCTTAGGTCAGCTTGTTGCAGGGAGGCCTCCTGGTCCAGTCGGGCCACATCAGAACTGAGCTGATTTTCTGAGCCCTAGGAGCATCAAACTGAACAGCATTCACAGGTTTTTGCTCACCTGGCTTAACCCTACCACTGACCCGAGTTCTGGCAGAAAAGGATGTTCTGGGGCTGGTGAGATGGCTCAGTGGTCTAAAGCACCTACTTAGAACAAGCTAAGCTCAAGCAAAGCACAGAGACCTTGGTTCAATCCCCCAGCACCACATGCTGGCCTGCCCGCCCCCTGGTGGGCTGAGCTGGCCACTCACTAAATAAGGAGACAATATGATTTCCATGTGTGTCTGATTTTTTTCATGTAAGAGTATGTTCTCAAAAAAAAAAAAAAAAAAAAAAGGATGTTCTTAGGGGCTGGGGAAATGGCTCAGTAGAATAAGCACTTCCCTGGCAAGCACGAGGGCCTGAGTTCAATCCCTGGCAGGGCCAGCAAAGGGGAAGGTTAGCCTATTTGCAGCTACAACTTTGCTGAGTGTCTATAGTCAGTTGCTCTGTGGACTTAGAACAGATCAGCTGCACTGGCAGCAAGACCTCGCCTCACATCAAGCATGAAGGGCACAAGGTGGCAGAACTCCACGTGTTGCTGGCTCTTCTGAAAACTGGTGCTTGCCGTACCAGCAGCAGGGCATGCTGCTGCCTGGTGCTGCCTCGCCAGCAGCTCTCTGCCTGAGCAGTGAGATGATGGTCTTGCAAGGTGGGGGAAATACCTGCCTTGGCATGTGGCTGTAACAGAAGTTATTTTAACTTGATCTCAGGGGCCGGGAAGATGGCTCAGTAGAATAAGCACTTAAGCACTTGCCTGGCAAGCACAAGGGTCTGAGTTCAATCCCTGGTTCCGCCAAAAACAAAGCAAAGATCTACTATTCCTAGAGTAGCTAAATTAGAAGTTGTGTGTAGACATTGGTTGCACTACTGGGTCTGGTAAAAGCGAAACAGACATTGTAAGAGAAGCAAAGCTGGGCTAAGCATGGTGACACCTGACTATTACAGCACTCTGAGAGGTGGAGGCAGGAGGATCCCAAGTCTGAATTCAACCTGCGCAATGAGACAGAAACAAAGCCAGAGCAGCAGAGAAGTGGGGCAATGGCTGTGGTCCTCAGCTCAATAACCCATTGTTTTATCTCCATCTTGAAAAGGCTGCAGTTTTGAGACTTTTTGTGGTACTTGGAGATCAAACTTGGGAGCTTGTGCTTGAAGGCAGGTGCTTAGGCCACTGAGCCATATCCCCAGCTAAGCCTCCATTTTTATCCCTCTTCCTAATTAGCTTTAGGGCAGGGTACTGGATGTAGGACAGTGTTCTCTGGGTTATTTTGGCAGGTTTTTTTTTTTTTTTTCTTTTCAGAACCAGGGATTGAATTCAGGCCCTTGCACTTGCCAGGCAAGCGCTTCTTCTATTGAGCCATTTTCCCAGCCCACAATGTCTATTTAGAGATCCTCTGGTCCCTTTAGTGGGCCCTGCCTGGGAGCTGGCTGCAGTGAGTGGCCTCTGGCTTTCCATGACAGCAGACAGGGCCTGAGTTCTGAGAAGAAACACTGTTGACTGTCCCCTTCGCTGAGCCTCATGACAACCTCCAAGTTATTAGACCCATTTTTGCTACCACTGAGGCTCAGGAAGCCAGCTAAGTGGCACAGCTGGCAGTGACGCTTAAAGCAGGCCTCCCCCACTTCTGCACTGTCGTAATGGAAGGATTAGTGGACGTTTTCTTCTGTGGGCCTCTCTGTCCACAATCACCAGCCCAGCGGGACAAGATCCTTGTTCTCAGCACTAAGGCCTCAAATGCTGGATTCATCATGACCAGAAATCTGACACCCATGCAGCCTAGTCCAGTTGAAGACGAGCACTCCAAGGACCACGACAGCCCTGGCAGATGAGAGTGGCAGCTAGAGGGCTCCATGCATACCTGGCACAGTCCAGGGTCGGGCCCTAGCTCCCAAGGAAAGGCCGGTAACATCTCAACTTTTACAGGGCCAGACCTACTTGTTCAGTGACTGAGACTCCCCAGATGTGAAGCAGTAAGGACTTTCCCTGGAACTTTATTTATTTATTTATTTATTTTTGGTACTGGGGATTGAACTCAGGACTTTACGCTTGCCAGGCAGGCACTCATGCAACTGAGCTATCTCCCCAGCCCCCTCCCTGGAACTTTAAAAGACTTAAAATATTCATACAACAAGGTTAAGACAGAGGGATTGCAGTGAGCTGGAGGTCAGCCTGGGCTAACAGTAAGTTCAAGGCCAGCTTGAACTACACACCCACCTTCTCTCCCCTCCCATCAACACAACACTCAGAGGCTAGGGTATACCCCTAGTGGTACAGACCCTGAGTTCCATCCCAACACCACAAAACAAAGACACCAAGTTGATATTCAAATATTTTATTAACTGTTACAGCAACCATCGGTGACAATTTAATTTCTTCTAATTTCCAAATACCTGCTGGTTTGGAAAGACAAAAAAAACCTGGTCATGAGATCACACAGGACTGCATGTACCCTCCACTGTCGCTTGGTGATGGCACGGATGGGGTGAAGGGACAGCACACGAGGGAAATGAGGGCAAGACTGAGCAAAGTGCTGGCGGTCTCCACTTTTGCATTCGGTATGGCTAGAGTTGGTGGCCCTACACAGGAAGGGCTGGTTTATTTTATTTTATTAAAAAAAAAATTTTTTTTGGAGGGCTGTTGTTATCAAATGCTTCCAAAAGACACTGAACATGGACACATGGATCCTCCAGCTCTTCAGACACCTGTCTAAGGTGTACCTGGGCTGTGAAGGCCTCCTGCCCAGGTAGACAGAGATGGGCTCAGCTGCAGGTCACACAAAGGCACTGCTGAGGGGCTGGTGAGTCTGTGCAGCCACCAAAAGGAGCAGGAGGCCCTCCAACAGTGAGAGTGCCCCACAGCCTGGGCTTGGGTTTTTGCTTTTTAAAGACTAAGGTGGAGAGGAAAGGGAACACTGAAAAGAGTGGATTTTCTGTGCCGGACATGTGGAACTCTGAAGTATATAGGAATTTTGGCTTTAAGCACTGCAAGAGCTTCCTTTAAAAACTTTAACGTGGCCAAGAGAGTACCAGGCAGTGTCATCTCTTGGCCACACGCAGAGCGAGCGTTGAAACACCCTGGGGAGCAGCTCACCTCAGGATCCTTCC